ATCGAGTCCGTGGGGCAGTGCTTAGAACGCTGGACTTCTAACTACTAAGGTCGCGGTTTCGCACCTCGGGCGGGGCACCAGTTGACGTGGGTATGACTGGCTGACGATGGCTAACAAGCCAGAAATGACCATCCTAGTCTACCTTGTCTTTGTCGGTAAGGTCCTTCTGTCTATATCATTAGCCGCCCCAAAGGCGCCAGGAGGGACGAGTGTGTCCTGTAACTGATCGATGTGCGTCTATCTGCACTTAATTAAAAACGGGCCCTAAATTTAAAAATGATACAACGCCTTTAACATGAAACTAACAGTTATTTTAATGGACTTATTCTGTGAAATAGAATTAAAGATTAAAGACCCAATGAATCGATGAAAACGTCAGCTGCCTAGATAGTTGTTTTTTCGACTAACATATACAAGCTTTATTGAAAATATTTTCTATTAGATGCCAGCATACTTTTAAATTTCATCCCATATGGAGTGCGGCTAATTTATCAATTGAATCCTTCGGATTCCTCATAGCCCTCAAATAACTTATATAATTACTTCGTTAATATTTAAGTTAAAGTCATTCAGTGTTCATGGAAACGTTAAAATATCAATCTTCAACTAAGATATCCGTTTATTTGCTTGATTTTTTTCCCTAGCCTTAGTATCATCGCCTAGCATAAAGAGTAATTGCATACGACAAATAAAAACATTCAAGCCCAAACTGACACCAGCTGGCGGAAGCTGTTTTACAGCCAAACAGATTGAGTACGGGTTGAAATTATAGATGAAAGTTTTAGTAGTAGTTGCGAGGATGCTTATCTTCTCCCGTCCGCGCTTATTGCATCAAAAACTGTTGCTTGCTTTCTTCAATACTTTATTTCAAACAGCAATCGTAATATGATTTGAAAGGTCAGACCTTTAATCGGCATGAATACATTCTGAAGAAGGAGTTGGGGAGAGGGTTCCATTACCGTCCTGTTTTTAAAAAATATGAGCGCTAACTTATGCACTCTAAAATTTCGAACTTTTCTGTAACAGCATAGGCTGTCTTAGAAAAACAAAATGGCGAACCAATCAAATTTCACTAGATGCGAATGTCTACTCAGTACTGAAGCAGAGGCTCCTGGAGCGTTTTAAGCCTGTATTTTTAAATCGCCTAACTGCAGGGTGGCTGAATGCATTTCATTCACGAACGTCTGTCATTTTTTCTTCTTATTACTTTTATACCCCTGTTTTTGCCGACGATTCGTAATATAAGTGTACATCCAGGACAAGACGCTCAAGCACCTGGCGTGCTCGGTGCTACCCAACTGACCCTATACCTTATGGGAAGCAGCAACTCATGTTTTCAGGAAAGCGGATATTATGACTTATTATTCACAGTGAGGACGGCTGTGCAGTTTACAATCTCTCGCTACAAGTCTCCATTGAGCTTGGAAAATGTTCGCTTAAATTATCAAGTACTTTATGGCTGCTCCAATCGTAATAAAGCTCGCGGCCTGCAACTCATCCGTGCTCTTGATGAGATGAAAAACTACTCTGAAACTGCCCGTTCCTGGTCTGTCCTATTGGGACCGCCACTTGGAGGCGACTGCAACATTGTCTCAGACTGGATAGCCAACGAAGCCATCAGATTCGACACCCACCACAGCCTATATCAGGTGACGTACTTGTGTAGGTCGGAATCCATAGGCAGACAATTTGCCCAGGTGGATCGTCCATCGGTCCATGAGAGCACGGATCTAAATCTGGCATCAGTTTCTATGGCGGTTCAGACCTTTCCCTTTGCAAGTGCATTTCAAATTCTGTTGCGTTATTATGGTTGGCAAGACGTAATGGTGATCTTCGAGGTCAGCGAGGTACGAATACAAAATCACGTGTTCGTCGAAGCTTTGCGAATGTACCTGGCGTACTCGCCGCCGAAATTTGCTCCAGTACGCATCGTCGGAGTCTTTGCGCTCGAATGCTCTGCGGAGTCTGTGTCGAATTATTTTTCTAAAGGCAATACCGTTGATGGTGCGTACATTTCTTGTTAATTTCTGCATTGTTTTTTGCATATGAGTATCACACTGTTCTGCCCAAACTCTGTGTGTAATATGGATATTTCCCCGTAATACTGAGGTCTCGGACGCGGAAACAATTCAACTACTTAGACGTATTTGATTCTTCTTCCTCTTCTTTTTTTTCTATTTATTTCTCCCCTTCTGACTTCCTTTCATCTTCTTACTGCAGCAGTTTCCAATAATTATAAAACTAATGGATGTTACGAACTACAGTATTATTACTGATATCGCTTCTATCGTTTGTGGCATAAATGGTACTTCAAATAGGCTTGCTACTTCGCTAACCGTACGCTTTTTACTGTTCCCTTTACTGGTAGTAGCTAATTTTATCTTCCTAGTTCTACGGTATTCATTTGCAATATGCTTACATTTTGGGAAATAATTAAGTGCGTTCTCTTTTCTCCATGCAACAGGGATTTCTAAATGAATGGTAAAGATTAAAAGGGTTTTGTTTCTAGATAGATCACTATCGAAAAATGGTATATTCAGGTGTTGTTGGTATGGGACTTTTTCAGATGTTGACTTCCGTATTCACTCAAATGACCTATAAAAATGATGTTCCTGAAAAGTGATAGTACTGGTGATGCTTGATTTGTTTCCTTTTCCTCGTTTAAGTGCGTA